TATCAAGAGTAGGGCTTGGGGCATGCTTTGCCTGTGTATGGAGAGTTGTAGGATCAAGGCTCTTGTCCAGTGAGTAATGTCTTAAGCGGCTACCAATGGTGTTGCTGATGGCTACGTAATCGTAGTTCATGGGATCCTTCTATTCCTCTCTTGAACGAGATAGCTGCTAAGAAGGAGCTGTATAAGAAGGTTCGATGAAAGTTGTTCTTGACATCTGATGACACTACTCGTCTACATCTTTTTAGATTATCGGTGCTTTCCCGGAGGGTTGGATGAACTCTAGAGTCATTTCTCGTGAATGTGGGTTGAAAGTCTTCGTCACAAAGCTCCTTTTCGATGGCTGATGGTGATTCAACCCCATTCAGTGAATCAAATGAAGCTCAAGCTTTGGACTATGCAACAGCGAAAACGCCAGTAGAGTGGAGATTTACATCATACCAAAATATGAACCTATTTTCATTTGTCATTAGAGCTTTCAATGGAGGTATTACGAAGGAGTCCAACTATTAATAAATGTCGGGCACTGACCCTGATCTGATACCCCATCACGCCCATGGATCATTAATAATGGCAGGGAAGGGCATTGCGGAGTTGTGCTTCTCTAGGCACCACATCTTGATGAACCTTAGTTTATGCGATGCATCTTCATATAATATTCTCCATGTATAGTCTTTCACAAACGAATAGCTGCGTATATTCTGAGCCCTCCACCTTGTAAATGCCTACTCCAAATGATGTCACAGCTACACCATCAGTGATATCTATCCCGGTATATCTCCCGACAGATACGTGGATACGCATAGAGGCAAATTTGTCCTGAGGAAGTCTTGTCTTCTTGAGTATCTAAGGACATGTCATCAGATTACCTGCAGGGAATCGGACGCATTAGCTTGGATCTTAACATTCAAGACGCACAAAATATAAGGAGATCCGGTCTTCACTTGATAGGTGATTTGTGTTGAATGCCGACTAGAGGCCCCTATGGTCTAGTGGTACGATACCCCCTTCGGGCCTTTCGAGGGTTCGCCAGTTTCTGGCATCATTGGGGGTGGTCCTGAGTTCGAATCTTGGTGGGGGCCATTTTTTTCCTAAGACTTCCAAACGTCTGGAAAACTGGTGGTAACTAGAAAAAGGTGTCCCAGTCATTCGTTCGAACATGGTGTCGAATTGGTTGTTATGTTTGTATGTGATTGAGTATCCAAACGTCATCTACTACTAGTACTCGCAGGTAGATATTGGGATGCTGGGCTTTTGTCATCAAGTTTCAAGTTGGGATTCTAAGTTTTTCGAGAAGCGGTTCCCATTCCCTAATGACCCTGGTTTCTACTGGATCAGAGCTACCATCGGGATGGTCATGTCCTGATATACCATAGGAAGGACATGGGGAAAATGCGATGTCATTGATATCTACCGCGGGGAGTCACGTCGCAAGTGCATTGATAATGCACTGCACCTCTAGAATGACTTCTCAATTCTGCTATACTGATCAGCGACGCGTCAAGGGTCATTTCACCACAATACGAACTGCGTAACCGCCAGATACAAAACATCGAGAAAAGTCACCGGCAACGATGTTCTAGCCCTAACAGGAAGGGGAAGGCCATACAATTAAAGGGTTTACAAGGTGGAAGCGGGGAACTCAGCTAAAAACTTCCAGTGAATCGTCGTCGGTGTCTCTTTGTCTCCCATCTCTCGCCGATCTTCAAATAATGTAAGCTTTCCCGATCCTGACTCGGTGTCACTCACTGCAACCTATAGTCTACATACCGTTGAGGTAGGTCAATAGAATGTGCAGATTTTGCAGGATTTATCAACGGCCTAGAGACTTGTCGACTAATGGAGTCAGTGACTTGGTTGAAGATGCATTGCCTTCTGTTGTTTCATACACCTTTGCTGGGGAACGTGCTGTTTCAATTGCTGGCAGCATTCACTTTACTTTGGCATCATCTTACGCGTCAATTCAAAGTTCTAGGAATGATAGATAGCACACTCGGTCGTTGCACATTCTATGGACTAGGAGTTCCCCGAGGAACATGCATGTTATGAAAGATATATACACGCGACTTGCTGTCTGACGATGACATCGTGAAGTTGCCGTCCAAATATCGGTCATGGGAGAATACTCTCCCGTACGACAGTCTTAGTATGCAATTCAGAGACTCACTGGCATTGGAGGGAATGTCCCCAGGTTATCGGGACAACTCGATCCTGAAGATTGGTTTCGAGATCAGTTCGATGACCACACGTGGCTAAGACTAGCTCGGATTACACCGAGGTCCCGGCGGAGGATCAAGCAGTCGAGCCGCTGTTTGATGCGTTCTCATCCGGTCATAAGGGACCGACATTCAAGTTGGACCGTCCCGATGCTAAACACCCAGATAGCTCGGCGCATCGGCGGCACGCGGTGCCAGAAGCAATTACGGAATAGCAACAGAAGAGTTGTCAAGGTAATTCCCGAGCAGAGTCCTTCGGCAGTTCCATCCATCACTCAAGGCTCCGAGGCACCGACCCCACGCCAAGGCCCTCCGACGATGCCGCCTATGCTGTATGAGATGTGTCAGATCTATATGTGTTTCTCAGGTATGGATGCTTGGCTTAAGGATGAAACGTGATCACTGATTCACAACAAGCAACTTGTCTCTTGTTTGATCCATTTTCGTGAATGGAAGGAAAAAAAAAGGTTCCTTTCATCAGGGCAGTGATTCGGAAAACTCAATTTCCATTTTTAGTCTCTACTTTAGAGGGAGTGTAGCTCATGGCACGTTGCAGGAGAATCGCTGCTTGCATGCTCAGTGCATTCTCCTAGCCGGCGGAAGAGACATAAGGGCCATATCGCTTTCTATCTCAGCTTCCACGTCAAATAGGGCGCTATAGACACGGCGCTGCCTTTCTTTCGGGGCACGGACATCATGGAATGGTTTATGTAGATAAAGCTGCAAAGATTTTCAAGCTCGTTTTCCAAATTCGGACTGTCAACCTTATGAACCCTATTTATATTCCGACCTCACTTCGGTATATCGAACCAATAATATGGAGTCTGAAACTCGATCTTCAGCTCTATCTGAGGTCCTCCAGAGAAGCAGACCCATCTAAGGCGTCAAATTGTCACGTGATGACGCAGTCGATGACGAGCGTAACACCAAAATCATTCCATCATGCCCGATGTCCTATCCGTTGGAACAAGTTTAAGCATAAGCGCCCCTCACAGAAGGGTCCTAGTGAGTTCCATTGAGCCTTGATTCCTCAACTTTGGAGCCTACAACCATGACAGCAGATTCTATTCTATGGGATGGTGTCATGAATTGTCTTACGATTTTGCTATGTGTTGCCTTTATAACTCACGATCCTGGCAGGGAAATGATCAACCATTTCATCCTACTTAACATTACTTCGCTCGAGTAAGTTCCTACTAATTCGGTCGTTGACGAAGCGAATA